CAAAGCTCCTTCTTTAAACATCAGAAATAATACATTTTGTAACTTTTTAACCTATACTCCCATTTACTTATCCTATAGAATTTATTAAAAGAATGTATTTGTATGCTCAAAAGTCCTAACTTGGTTATCATAATCCTCTGCAACAAAAAATGTATAAAAATTGAAGTTTAAACTTATCAAAACTTCCTGTGAGATAAGATGCTAAGTGTTAAAAATTTTTCCTCTGGAGTTCCTCTGAGTGTTAAAATTATGTGATTATTGTAATGCATAATTGATCAAAACAGTATCAATGCTACACATTTCAATCATTAAAAAAGGGTAAAATTTATTGGAAATGCATCTTATACACAGCTAAACTGTGTATCTAGGAATCAGTATGATTTATTGTCATACAGAACCAGAATTGGTTCTGTTCCCACTTATATTTTTACAAATTTAACATGAGAGAAAATTCATTCATATAAAGCAGCAGATAAGAATGGAAGTTTTATCACAGCAAAATCACTGAATTCTTTTAATTCCTTTCCTTCTGGGTTATAGGCTAAAAAGCATATATATCACCTATCATCAAATACTATTTTTAATAATCTCTTAGCTGACATTTCATATAGGTCAGCTTCAAAATTTATTTTAAAACTAGAAAAGGATTTGTCACCCCATCATTAGAGTTATTCACTTTCTCAATTCTGTGAAGCATACAAAAAAATCTTACAAAGATTTATCATTTTCTTTCATGACACTGAGACAGGATTATTCTAAGACACCAACAGGATTGGGAAAACTGAAATACTGTTCAACATCCTTTGGCAAAGAAAACCAAACCAAAACAAAACAAACAAAACTCAAAAACAATTTAAATGTTTTTCTCTTATCACTTGTTTTTAATGTATTTCTGGAAAAAAAAAAAAAAAAAAAAAAAAACACCTCAGAGCTGAGGATTAGGCTCATTTAGTTTGAGAATGTCTGCCATATAACATTAAGAGTAAAACCTGTTGTTAATGCCAAACCAGCCAGCCAGTGGAGGCTTACTTTCTCAGAAAAATATGACATAATTTTTCAATTCGAATAAATATGTTAAGCCACATCTGCATTCGCCTCATCTCATCTGAATTCTAATTCCAAAATTTCAGTAAGCCACAGATCCTTAAGGCACTTGGATGAAACAAGGCACTACCCACTTCAGCATTTCTCTTTTGTTGTTTGGCTCTTGTATCAGGAATGATATTCTTTAAAATAATGAATAGAAAATGAAAAGGTTAGGTCATTTCATGAAAACTCTTACATTTTGGGAATTCAGAACACTGCAACACAGGCCTGGTTTTAACATGAGGCTTTACCCTTAACAGATATACTTATAAATGTAAGCAACATATGAAAGAGACTTTTCCACTGTGGTCCTTCCTTGTCCTCGTCCCCACAGCTAAATCTTTTCACACCCACTCATACATGACTCTGGTCCCAAACTGTTCCTCTCCGCCCTTCCAGATAAAATCCCAAATGATCAAACAATGGCTACTAATATCTAAGGATAATTCCTCCTCTTCCCCCTCATAAAATGTTCTGTCTTCATTCCCCAAATTAAAATGTTGCTTTTGACATCCTTTCTCATGCCCTGCATTTTCAAATAAATGCTTATTCTTTACTCTGATCTTCTTCCATATAAAACAGGAAAGACAGGATGCTCTCCTTAATACCTTAATTAACAGAGACTTCACTACACCAGTAATTCGAATTGTCCCTTTTTTCTGGACACCGTGGAAGGTTTTCCACCTTCCTTCCCAGGGCAACACACCATAAAAATACTCATGATACATGAGAGCTTGCCTTTCTTCTTTAAAGTAGGAGAAGAGCAATTTGAACAGGATGTGGGAAAAGAGAAGCAGCATACTACTTTGCTACCCTGATCAAAGGAGCTTTGTCAGAGAAGCAACAAGCTGAGAATTGGGGAGATGATTCCTATAGAATTTCTTGCATACTGAAGTTTGAAGAACACTGGTTGGTATGTGTAGAGCACAAATCACAATAAGTCACCAAGAGCAGTCTTCTCTTACACAACAGAAATCAGACCCATATATATGGCAGCTACAGGAATTACGAGACTGCAAGTATAAACAAGTATTTTTAAAGCATTTAAAGAAATACAAGTGTTTAAAAAATATAGTAACAAAAGACTATCAGAAATGGCTAGGTTGATTTAAAAACAACAAAAAAGAGAACATCCAGAAATAAAAAATGAAAATAGAAACTCAATAAATGGGTGATACAATAGGATATATGGAGGTGAACACAGACCTAAAGAAATTACATAGAACGTAGCACAGAGAGACAAAGGGATGCAAACTATGAAAATATTAAGAGACAAATAAAGGAGAAAAGTGCAACACATGTCTAATCAAAATTTCAGTAGAGAATACTTGAACAGATAATAGCAGAGAATTCTCCAGAATTTATGATACCCATCTGTAAATCCAGGAAGCCAAAGTCCCAAAGAAGGTAGACGAAAAGAAATCAAGTCCTAGAAAATCAGAATATAAGTTACAAGAGAGTGATAAATTAGCTATACTTTAAAATTAAGAACTTTTGAACATCAAAGGACTTCATAAATAGAGTGAAAAATCAAACTATGAACTTGGAGAAGACATTTGCAATGCATGTAACAAAAGAGTAATATCTACATTTAAGAAAGGACAAACACTGAAATAAAAAAAAGGACAAAAGCAATAAATAGGTATTTCAAAGGGGAATCACAAAGGGTAATTAACATATGAAAAGATGCTCAACCTCATTAAGACTCAGTGAATTGCAAATTTAGCTTGAATTTCATGCTCACCAGATTGACAAAAATTAAAAAGTCTAATAACTTCAAATACAGTGGGTACCTTGGTGTTCATTTTATTATTCCTTAAACTGTATACACATTGTATGTGTTCTTTAATATGCATGTTTTATAACAAAAAATATTTTGTAAGTACCACTTGGATTTAGCAATGAAAATGTTTGTCTATGGCCCTGCGGAGAGCAGTTTCAGTGAAATAAAAGGCATGAAAAGTAGGCTGCAATGAGCTGAAAGGCTCTATGAGATAGGAAAGTAAAGACAACACAGACAACTATTTTAAGCTTAACTTTGAGGTTAGGCAGACAGAACTATAACTTTAGGAGAATGTCACAGTGAGAGTTTTTTAAAATTTTATTTTATTTTTTAAATAAAGGAAACGGGGGCAAATTTAGAAAGATACAGCAAAAGGGAGAAGATGATGACACAGAAAATAAAAGCCCCTGGCTATCACAGGTATATAATACAGAGCTCATGAATAGCAGTTAGCTTTAGACAGGAATAAGGGTTCCTACCTCATTGTTACAATTACCTCTCTGACATTTATCACTTTTCTCCTCCCTCCATCCACTTCAGTTACAATGGGCTCCTTGACCCTCCTTCAAGCAAGCCCCTGCCTCATGACTTTTGCATATGTTATTCCCTCTATTGAGAATACTCTTTTCCAATGATGCAAAGCCTGCCTTTCACTCCTTTCAAGTCTTGGCTCAGATGTGAACTCAGTGAAGCATTCCACGAGTACCTTTGAAGTGAAATCCGCTTCTCACCCCCTACCACCCTAATCCTGGTACTCCCTATTCTTTTTCCCTGCTTTATTTTTCTTCAAAATCTTCTAATATTCCATATAATATTCTCATTTTATTGTTTAATCCCCTTTCCCCCACTTGTGTACCAGCTCCATGAAGGCAGGAACCGTAGCCACAGTGCCTGGTAATGTCTGATACACAGGAAGAAAACCCAATAAATAAAAGGTGAATAAATGATTAACAGTCCCTACTTGAGGAACTGGAAGAACAAATATAATGGAACTCATACTGCATGATTTGAACAAAATGAAGTAGAGCCTAGGGCATAATCAACTTACTGCCTACAGAAGAGATTACGTTGGAGTTAAATCTTGAATCATGAGGAGTTTGCCAAGTGAAGAAAGAAAAAGACAGACAGACATTCCAAGGTACTGAAGAACATGGAGGTTTAAAAGGGCCTTGTACACTTGAGAAATGAAAATGGGGTACTGGAGTATGATAGGGAAGACAATACTCCAGATTTTAGCAAACCTTACAATGTTCACAGCAGAGGACACATTATATTGAGCCTGTCAATGCTAAAAACCCTTTACAGAAGATTACAGTTGCTTGGTCACTTGTTTTATTTGCAGTCAGTTTAAAGTTTACATAAAACTACTGGACTTACTGCAAAGGAAAAAGTCTGAACAACCTAATCTGTTCTCCAACTGTAGACTCTATTTCTCATAACCAACCAAAGTCATAGTATTACTACCAAATGTCTCAAACCCAAGTATCATTCAAAGAAGTCAAGACAAAAAATTCTCATGGGTGGGAAAATGGTCAAATTCAAGGGCTAGTTTTGTAGCAACTACTCTCCATTTCGCCATCTTTGAGTTTTTTAATGAGCTTGCATGTTGTCCTACTTAACCTGCACTTATTACCATGTTTTCAATTAGTCTACCTTCCTTCTGTTCACATCATTACTGTCTTTGGGACACTCAGCTTCGTTTTAGCCTCAGCACAGTTACTTAACCATCCAGGTTATTTTCGAGACAGGAGACTCTCTTGAGTACGCACAGAAAACCTCAAGACAGCGTGTTAGCTCAGGAGCCCATGAAGCCAGCTGGAGACTATTTAAGCACAAGACCAGAGAGGCGGCGAACACCAGCCGCGCTTTTTACGTTTCGCCTCTCTGGGGCCTGCGAGGGGGCGGAGAGCTGGTGCGGTGGGGTAAACCCTGAAAAGGGCGGCGCTCCCCTGGGTTCCCAGGGCAGGCCAGAGGTCAAAGCTCAGGTCTAAAGCTGAAGGGGCGGGGCCTGCCTTAAAGACCAAGGGGTGGTGTGTGGGCCCTGGAGCGTGAAGAGGGGCACGGCGACTCGGAAAGACTCACAGTAATAAGCCACCACAGGGTCCCGCTTGTCATGTTCCTGAGCCGTCCTCAGATGATGCTGTATGCTCTTAAACTGGGGGGGTAGTGGGGGCAGCGGAGCAAGCTCGGCCATCTCTATTCCAGGAATCACCACTTCCTACTCGCGCGCCACCGACACTTCCGCTTCCGTCTGGTAGGTCGCGCGCACGAACGCGAATGGCAAGTCCCGCCCACTCTCCTGTTGCTCAGCGACAGCAAGTCAACTACGGGCTCCCAACAGGGACAGCCTCAATGTATCTCGCTCTTGGCAGTTAGAACCCAGAGAAGGCTAAGCGGCTCCGCCGTTGTGCCGCTTGTGGCACCAGCGCTCTCTGCTGGCTGCGGGTGGGAGGGAAAAGAGTTTTTGTTTTGTTTTACCTTCTTGTGTCCCCCATGCCTTTTTTCCTCCCTCCCTCCCTCCCTTTCTTCCTCCCTCCCTCCCTTCCTTCCTCCCTCCCTCCCTTCCTTCCTCCCTCCCTTCCTTCCTCCCTCCCTTCCCTCCTTCCTTCCTTCCTCCCTCCCTCCCTTCCCTCCTTCCTTCCTTCCTCCCTCCCTCCCTTCCCTCCTTCCTTCCTTCCTTCCTCTTTCTTTCCGCAAAACGGAAGGTAGAAAGGAAAAGCAAGAAGAGAATAATGTTTGTTGATTGGAGAAAGGGTAAAGGCGTGAATTGCCTTTAATATCATTCAGAAATTATCACTTCCAGTTTCTCAGATTATCTTAATAGCGTCCTTTTCTGATTTTGGAAACTTTAAATTCACTTATTGTGGAAGATGAGAGATGATGTGTTTAATTTTTTATATTGATTTTTTTATATTGAATTCTTCTGTATTGACATATTGGATAAAATAACCGGACTCTTTTCAACTTAAATACTAAGCACATTAAGCTTAAAGAAAATTGAATTTTTGTTCCGAACTGGTGCATGAAGAATCTGAAGATCATTTATTTCTGGAGAATGATCAATAATATGTCAGGTATTTTGACTCATACCATTGTAGGCATCAGCTTTTCCTTCCACCATTAGTGACTTCTTTTTCTCTCTTTTCCATCCCATTCTGTCATTTTCCAGGACTTTACACTTTATTTGCCTCCTCCAATAACCTTCATCTGTACTGCTTTATTTTCTCAGTTCCCAGTTTTGAGGGTTCATCTTAAAACTAGTTTTCATTGGGGCGCCTGGGTGGCTCAGTTGGTTGAGCGACTGCCTTCGGCTCAGGTCATGACCCCAGGGTCCTGGGATCGAGCCCCGCATCGGGCTCCCTGCTCGGCGGGGAGCCTGCTTCTCCCTCTCCCACTCCCCCTGCTTGTGTTCCCTCTCTCGCTGTGTCTCTCTCTGTCAAATAAATAAATAAAATCTTTAAAAAAACAAAACAAAACAATAAAAACCTAGTTTTCACTGAAATCACACTATCTCCAAGGAAAAAGATCTCAACCTCTGAAATTTGTCCTGCCTGCTCTTCTCTAATCACCAAAACATCTACCCCCCCCCCCCCCCCCACTGCAGAAACTGCTCTGTGTCCTTGTGATTACCCCTACTCCACATCCTTTGTCTATTTCTGCTTGCAGAGTACATTACCTTACTCTGGGTCTGCCTTTTTTTTTACCCGACGAGAAATTGAGACCTGTATTCTCCCCAATCTCAGTAACATTCACTACCACTTGATAATGTATATGCTACAGACTGAATATTTGGGTCTTCTTAACATTCATATGTTGAAACTTAATGCCCAATGTGATGGTATTAGGAGGTGGAGTCCTTGAGAGGTGATGAGGGCAGAGCCTTTATAAATGGGATTAATGCCTTTATAAAAGAGACCCCAGAGAGCTAGCTGGCCCTTCCCCCATGTGAGGATACAATAAGAAAGCAACATTCTGCAGCCTAGAAGAGCGGGCTCGCTAGAACCTGACCATACTGGAACCTGGATCTTCCAGTCAGCATAGTTGGATTGGTAGAGGAACTAAAGCAAAGTGTGATAACCGTAAATGTCATCTCTCTGTCCTTATGAATTCTCATTTATTCTTTTCCTATTCTTGATTGTCAACTCTGGTTGTTCTTAAAGTTCACCTAATAAGTTGTTTTGTTTTTTTTTTTTCAAAGACCTATCTAGGTCTCACCCCCAAGCCACCCCAATGTAATAGTTCTGGGTTGGAGCCTAAATATCAGTGTTTTTAAAAGGGCTTCAGGAAATTTTAATGGTATATCCAGGGTTCAGGACCAATGCCCCAATGAATCATCAATATGTAGCTGATGTTTCTCCAGTCTCTTTAAGCTAGACTCTCTGCCCTGATTGCCTTGATCAGAAGCTGCAATTCCTGCTATTGAGATTAAGGTCATGAGATATGAGTTGTTTTACCTCTCCTCTGGTACGACAGAATAGTAATAACGAGCTAGCATTTGCTGAGCATCTATTATGAATCATGTATGTTTCTAGGGACTTAACATCAATTCATTTAATCCTTACCACACCCTATGGAGAAGGTATTATCATTTTCATTATTTTATAGATAAGTGAGGCACTTAGAAATTATGTAACTTGCAGCAGATCAAAGCCAGTAAATATGAGTGTTTGATATTAAAATCCATGTCCTTTGGTTTCAGAGCCTGTGAATCTAACCACTATTGACTTTAATGTCTCTCTATACCAATATATCCTTGTACTTTAAGTTTTTCCTATTGAATGATCCTATGTCTGAAAAATCATGTGTTCTATTCCTAGTGAAAGCTGTACCTTCCTGTTATTCTCCTGATCTCTCCCTTTGAGACTGGAGGTTGCTCAGGTCCCTTTCTCATTTGCATGTGTTCTAAAGGAGGAAAGGGGCAAAATAAGCAAGTAAGTGAAATGGATTTTATGCCATCTGCCAACACATGTTCTCTTCTTTCCAAGTACTGTACTCCCATCATGAGAGGAGTATTGATATGAGGAAGAAAAGTAACAGAGACTGTTAGCATAACAGCACATTAAAATTATGGTGTGAAAGAAAATAAATATTAATAACATGAGGTTGTTTCTTCTTGTTGATGTTTTATAATGAAGAACTTACTATGAAGAAAGACCTAAATTCTCCTCCATCCAGCTCTGAACAGTTGCTGAAGGATCTCACATCACCCTCCAGGTTGGGGCTTAAATCTTGGCAAGTTAGGGGAGGACATAGATGGAATTCACCAGTGAAGCTACCTGGGCCTGGCATTTTCTTCGTGGGAAAGCTTATTTCTTTAATAAGTATAAAGATATTCATATTTTCTGTTTAATTGTTAAGTTTTTAGTAATATGTGCCTTTCAAGGAATGTATTCATTTTATGTAAGTATCAAACTTATTGACATAACATTGTTCATGCATGATGTTTCCTTATGATCATTTAAATATTCTGTTGTGATATCCCTGTTTTTTCCATTTATGATCTGGGTCATTTTCATTTTCTCTTTTATTATCCCAACCTGTCTAGTGAGAAAACAGTTTTACTAATCTTTGCAAAGAACCACTTTTTATTTCATTGATTTTTTTCTATTGTCTTTCAGTTTTCTACTTCAAGGTTTTGTGTTTTTTATCTCTCTCCTATTTAATTTGTATTTAAGCTGTTCTTTTTATAATTTCCTAAGATGAGAGGTTTAAATCACTTTATAACTTAATTTTTCTAACAGAATATTTATAACTTCTAATATTCTGTTGATTACTCTTCTAGCTGCTTTCCACAAATTTTGAGAAACTGTGTGCATTAGTATTTGTTTATAGTAGTTTTCAATTTTCCACACAATTTCTTCCTTTATCTATAGGTTAATAGATGCTATTGCTAGTTTTTCAAATACTTGGGCATATTCCTGATATCTTATTTTTATTAACTTCTAGTTTAATTCCATTGTGACCAGCTAACATACACCATATGATTTCATTATTCAGACTTTCTTATGACCCAGCGAAGAGTCCCTCTTGGTGAATGTTCCACATGTACATGAAAAAAAAAATGTATAATCTGCTGGTTAGGTGAAGGGTTCTCTAAATATCAATCAGTGCAAGTCAGTTATTAGTAACGTGTAAGTACTCCATCTCTTTTCTGATGTTCTTTCTACTTTGTCAATTGATTAGTGAGAGAGGGGTGTTGAAATCTCTAATTGTAACTGAATTTATTTCTCTTTTGAATTTTGTTAGGTTTTGCTTCATATATTTTGCTACTCTGTAACTGGTGACATACACATTTAGAACTGTTATGCTTCCTGATGAAATTATCCTTTAATCATTATTAAATGTCTCTTTTATCCCTGTCATCTCCCTTGCCCTGAAACCTACTTGAGTTTTCTCATATTATAGCCACTTCAGCTCTCTTATGCTTTTGCATGATCTATTTTTTCCATTTTTTTCTCATTATCTAGTTGTAAAAATATTTGAATGGTTTAAATACTAAATCTTTAAATATTCAAAAATATTTAAGGTGGTGTTCTTGTTAATGGTTTGGTCTAGTTTCTAAAAAAAAAAAAACATCTAGACAATCTTTGCTTTTGTTTAGGGTGCTAAGACATTTTATATTTATTGTTACTATTGGTATTTTTAGATTTAGGTCTAGTGCCTTGTCATTGCTTTCAATTTGCCCCATCATTTTTTGTTTCCTTTTTCTCTTTTTTGCCATCTTCTGGATTAATTGAATGTTAATTAACTAATTTTATGATTTTATTTAACTTCATTAGCTTTTTAGCCCAAATTTTGTTGTTTTGCTTTACCAGTTATCTTATATGTTACGGTATACATCTTTAAATCATCACAGTATACTTCGGGTGATAATATAAAACTTCACATATAAGAATCTTAGTATATTTGCATACTTAATTTGATTCACCAAATTTGTCTATTTTATATTTTCCTTTACCATTTTGTATTTATATTTTGTTTTTTTATGTTTGTTTTCTAATTTATTACTGTATTCTCTGCCTTTATCCTTATTAGATTATTTTAGTATTTTTTAGTTTTATTTTGAAGTTCTTATTTTTACTTTTTATATTACATTTACTATTTCTTTTTAATAATAAATGTATTTTCAGCTCTCAATTTTCTGTGTACTACAGACTTGGCCCTATCCCATGGGTTTTAATAAGTAGTATTCTGACTGCTCTTCATTTATAAATACAGAAAAACTAGTTTAAATTACCTTGTTTGATCCATGGGCTTTTTATGAAATATTGATAGTCTTATTAATTTTTACTACATTTGCATTTTGGTTAGAGCAGTCAGTTTTTATAAATATTTTATATTTACACTGTATAAATGTCATATTTATATATATCATTTATTATTCAGGTGTATATAACTGTGTGCTTACAATCCTGATATAGTTACCAACAAAATGAAATCATAAAGTAGTAGATCAGTAAGGAATTAAAAAGATTATCCAAACCAACTCTCTCACTGGATCTGTATCCTTATACATAACAACAGGTACTGTTTACAGGGGTAAGCAGGGTTTCTATGGTGGCTTAGAAATGCCATCGCCTGTCCAGCAAGGAGATAGAGTCCAGGGGGGCCAAGGAGGCTAGATTTTGGAGGGCAGAATACCTTGGAGGGGAGAATTGCAAACAAGAGAGCTTCAGAGACCTGTAAAGTGTCTCCAACTGAGTTCTGCTCAGTGTAACGTCTTTAAATATCTTTCAAGGAAAAGATTGAAAGAAACATTATCCAAAATTCAGACAAGATTGAGACTAGTTGCTTTTCCCAACAGCCAAGGTAAAAAATCTCTTTACAAAGAGTCATACTTTGACAATGTACTAGAGGATAAATCAGAATAAGAATAAATCAGTGCTCATCTATGAGTGGGCAATGATATTAAGAGGAAGCCTGTTGGGTTTTTTTGGGGAGCAGGGAGAAAAAAAGGTCTTCCCTGAGAAAAATCCTAAGAGACAAACCAAGACAATGTCTGTGCTACTTCTCCCTTCTTTCTTTGGGAAATAGAGACCTATTTCCTGTAGCTACAACAATTTATGTAGCAACCATGAGTGCAATAAACTGACTATTTGTGTCCCCCTCAAATTCATATTTTATTTTTTTATTTTTATTTTTTTAAAGATTTTATTTATTTGACAGAGAGACACAGCAAGAGAGGGAACACAAGCAGGGAGAGTGGGAGAGGGAGAAGCAGGCTACCCACTGAGCAGGGAGCCCAATGCGGGGCTGGATCCCAGGACCCCAGGATCCTGACCTGAGCCGAAGGCGGACGCTTAACGACTGAGCCTCCCAGGCGTCCCAAATTCATGTTTTAGAATCCCAACACCTAATGTGATGGTATTAGGAGGTCAGACCTTTGGGAAGTGATTAGGTCATGTGGGTAGAGCCCTCATGAATGGGATTAGTGCCCTGATAAAATGAACTCAAGAGAGTTCCCTCACTTTCTTTCTACCATGTGAGGATCCAGGACAAGTCTGTAGCTCAAAGAGGGATCTCAGAACTTGACTGTACTGGCACCCTGGTCTCAGACTTCCAGCCTCTAGAATGGTGAGAAATAAATTTCTGTTGTTTATAAGCCACCCAATCTATGGTACCTTGTTATAACACTCCGAATAGCCTGAGAGGAGTCAACCAGCTTGCGGGTAGAATTTTGAGAGTGGTGGAAAGTTAACATTTCCAAAATACCAAAGGATTATCTCAGAAAGAATTTGCCTTGGTAAGGTGGCAAAATTAATCCTTCAGTAAGAACTACACTGGTTCCATTTAACAAAACTTAAAAGGAAGCACAGAGGATCAACCATTTCCAAGTAACTTAACTGTGCCCCAGAATAAAGTTTAAGAATATTCAAGAGAAGAAAAAAATATCCCTCATCCAACAAGGTAAAACACACAATGTCTGGCATCGAATAAAAAATTTACTTCCAAAGGTGCAGGAGAATAGATCCAAGATAAACATGTTTGTGTTTGTGGGAGGATTGGTGAAAGCCATCCACCCTGGGTGCAGGCAATAAAAGGTGGGCTATCTATAGAGAATTTAAAAATAATAATAAAGTGGACTAAACATTGTTGCTGTTTCTTAGCACATAGGGCCAGTGATTCTAAACAAAGACTGAATAAATACTCCTTCCTTTCAGGGTGGGCTAACCCCACAGCCTCCACTCTTTAAGTTGCCACTGGACTACTCACTCAATATCTCATAAAGGTACTAAATCTTAGTTATCTTTGTCTATGAACTCTTAGTACAGTGTATATTCAATAACAGATACTTAACAGCTCTTTGTTGAATGAAAATAAGTTGGCTCTCTTCCTGTGCTTTCTATGTGGAGAAAGCCTCAATGATTTAAAATCCTAAATCTAGAAATTCATAATATTAAACATAGGCTGAATAATGCTTAAGAAAAAATTGAAAATCTCAGTATTTGACTGACTATACTAATAAGGCCTCGGTACAAGGCAGTCATAAAGATTTTAAATGATATCAAATAAAGGTGATTATTGGTGAGACAGAAGAATACACTGAACTGATAAAAGTTTTTCTGAAATAATTTCATAGCTCTTCAGGAAGTATAATTTAATATATAGTTTTTCAGTTCAATAATCTTGAACATAAAAGCTATAGTTGTTAGGATATCTGTGAGAGGTGTTTTTTTTTTTTTTTTCAACAAGAAACAAGGAAACCATTCACAATATTTGCCATAGCATTTTAAATTTATTTGGTGGCTATATTACCATATCATTTAATGTTAAAAATGTCAAGAAAACAGTATAATGCTAAAAATGTAATTATTTCATTTCTTTAAGTTAGTGATCAAACTATAGAATGACTCTTAATAATTAATTTACAACTTTTGTGCTTAAGTTACATTTTATATGAATGCAAGTATAATTACACCCTCAAAGTTTAGCCAAAAGGGTTCAGCCTTTACATTTAGGAGATCTGAATTCTAATGTGGTTATATGACTTTGGGCATATATATTTACCTCCCTGAGACTCAATTTTCCACTCTGTGTAAAAGAGATAATAAAAGTTTCTCTGGCCACAAAATACTGTGATTATTTAAGATGTTTTGTGTGAGAGAACTCTGTAAAAGTACTATTTAAAAAAGAGTTAACATTAGTTCTGTATATATTTTCTACTACATGACAAAATTAAAATAGAATGAAATGTTTGTTCGAGAATACCTGCCTTAGAACTTAGTATAATATTTTATATTAGACATGAAGTTCAGACACACTGAAGTAAGTTTAAAGAACAGATATTTATGTTTGAAATTGAGATACTCACTGAATGAGATGAAACTAAAAAAAAATGATTGATAAAGAATTATGGCATGACAGTAGGTAATTACCCTTTTGGTCATTGCCTGATTAGAAAGCAAAATCTTCTAAATATGATCTCAAAAACTTCAGCAACACATAATATTACTGTAATCACAGTAAATGTATACATCGCAATGAGAAAAATGGTCTTCTCAAAGTGTTCTGGCACCATGCATTTTATAACAGTAAATTTTTTCCCGAGAGATCCAGCATCACACAGGTAGAGGGGTTTAACTTGGAAACCAAAGAGGTGAATCTGAAGCCAAAATGCTATCACCTCTAGACTAATTCTTAATAAAACAGAGAGGATATAAATCACAGTGTAGATAGGCTTTTGAAGAATGCATTCTTGATTGATGCTTTTACATGCAGCATAAAGATGGAAAATAGCTCCAGGAACCAGGACAATCACTAGTTGTAAGGCCCAGAACACCTAAAGCATGTCAGAAATATCTTAGTCAAATCAGCCAACATATTACCAAAAACACATGAAAGAGACTGAGTCTCAACAGAGGCAAACTTAACAATTCTACGTTCCGTAAGTCTTATGAGCAATAAAAATAATATAATGAAGATAGTAATGTTGAGCATATTTAATTACTAAGATGTTTAAAATTTTAAATTTTAGTAACTGTAAAAATGTATTCCTATTTTGCTGTCCTCACTTACCAATTATGAATAATAATGAAGTATTTTATTTTAGTAGCTACCCAATTTCCATTTTCTAATTACAGGCCTAGAGTATAATACTAACATCAATAGATAACAGAATTGTGGAGATGGAAGAAACTCTTGACCAACTAAAATTAATTTACGTGAAATATATAGCCAGTTAGAGAACAAGTAATGATTCTAGAAACAATACCTGTTAGGGTATTCTTCATCTTATTATGACATTATTTTACATTTAAAAAGAAAACAATTTTTATCTGGCATAGGGGAAGGTTTACGTGCACACAGAAAAACTTACTTGTGGAGTGATTGGCCTAAACTGATTGTAACAGAAGAGATTTATTTCTCTTTTGTCTGGATCACAACTGAAGTGCAAAGCCTCATTCCCATAGACTGCAAAACCTAACACCCCAAGGAAGAACATTCTTATTGATCCAAAGAAAAGGGTGTGGAATTGACCGATCACGGTTGGAGGCTTCACCTGTTAATGGTTTTAGGAGAAAAAGGTGTTTTGAAAACAAACATTAAAGAAATACATTTTAAAGGATGTTTTCATTTTCACATTTTAAAATATTTAAGATTCATGAATTTTTGAAGCAAGATAGAACTTTAGACCTCATTAAGCCCAATGCAAATTCTGCATCATGAGATTGCTCACCACTTTGCACTCTGAAAGTATGAAATGCAACAGTCAAATAGGGACATGTTGCTAATCAAATGTATAATCTTGGAAATATTTAAAAAGCTCTGAATTCAATGACTATCCTTCCTACCCCTGTAATCCTTTTGCAATAAAATCAAGAGAATCTTAAAATATCTAGGACCTCTTTTAGAAAATTAGATAACAAATCTAATATTAAATTCATTGGTATGCACAGTATCTTAACAACCAAATGATGTTTATTTAATTGTCATTACAGCTTATTTTCCACTTCTTAATGATCAGATTGAGAAGAGAGTGAGCTACTTTAAAACACTAACAGCTAAAAGTACTTCCTGAATTATTCTAGTTATAGTTTTAAATTCAGAATATTCTGAAGTATACGGTTGATATTTATATTATTCTCCATATATGTAGAGGTTCTTATTCATCAACACTTATGAAATCAGGTTAAAATACAAGACAAGACTCAAACAATTGTTTTTTGTTTGTTTGTTTGTATAATACTTACACATCCTTCATAGACGTTTTTGATGTAATTTAGAGACATGTCTCAGGAGCTGTTATCCTGGCATCCCTGCGGGTTAATTCTTGACCCACATTGCCACTTCGCTTCTGCCAGAATAAAACTCATATTCTCTCATGACTCTTACAGCAGAAAACACTTATCCCTGCAAATTTCTCTCCCCTCCTCCTTTTCTTTTCTTTTTTTTTTTTTTTCATAGATCTCTGGGGCCCCAGTCAACTTTCCTATCTCTGTCCCAAAACAAAACAAAACAAAAACAAAGAAAAGCAGAGGGCATGTGGTCAATGTAATAATCCCTTTACTTACACCGTCAGCAGAGCCAGCCAGACAGACAGGAGTGCCAGCAAAGCAAGAGGCCAGTCCAACAAGGCCTCTGAGCACTCAGTGCCTCTCAACTACCTGAGAATTGCCTATATGTAAATCAGTGGATTCTTAAGCTTAGAGTTTTCTCCAAAATTTCCAGTGATCTTCCCCGCCCCCCCCACCATTTAGGTATGTCTGAAAAGATAATTACATGGGAAATATTCCTGACTCTTTCTTGTTTACTTTTATGGAATAGGACTAATTTCTGGGACATTTAAGAAACTGTAACACAGGTTATGACAGCTATTACAGCATCGAATATTATGGATATGTTGCTATATTTGTCTTTTTGCTGAATGCTTACTGTGGATGTGGAAAAATCTGTAGTAGATCTCTATTCTGAGTGAAAAGATAGTGTCCTGCCAACTAAGATGAGACCAGGATCAGCACAAATCATGTGAACAATCCTGCCTTCCTTTTTTTTTGTCCTTCAATAAATACATCAAGTGCTAGACATTGATTGTTATGAGTGCTGGGATCAGCAGGGACCAGAACAGACAAGGAGATGCCTTCCAAATGATACATCTGTATAATATCTTCTATCCACTATACTTCCATACAGCCAATGGTGGATCAAATCTGCTTCTTCACCTGCCTTCCTCATCTTAGTTTTGTTTGTGATCTGGGAAAGTTGTAACTCTTGACAACTTCACTGCTTAGCAAGCAGAGAAGTGATTGTATAACACATGCAATTATAGCCAATGGGCATGGGGCAGTGGCCTTGTTGAATAAGGGTGTTGTACTGGATAGGGAAAATAAACAATGTAATGTTCTCTCAGAGCTGTTGGATGAGAGAAATTGCTGTATATTCTCATCTTCTCAGAAACAGAATTCCAGGTTTGCTATGTATCGGTTTCTATGAAGGGGTATCCAAAAGCCAAACTATCTTTTGCATGGCAGGAATCTTGCTTTGACTTCTACCATGTGCAAAAATGAATGTGTTTGTTTAGACCATTATATACTATGGTGAGACATGTAAAAATCATCAAAGTCTTCCTGTGTTTTTTCAGAGATGAACAAAATTAGCTTGAACCTTAATTGCATGTGTAGATGGGAGAAACACAGTATCATTTTCATTGTTGGGATCTATGAGGGACCAGATAAATAATACTGCTCTTCCCTTTATAGGTTATGATCCAATCAAGTCATAAGACAAAAGGATAAAGCACATGGAGGCCAAAATATCACCCTTATTATACTCTCATTACCATAAAGATTATGTTGGAAGAGGGATGTGGTTTATCTCTTTGGGAAAGTGTGATTCTGAGGCAGACACAGCTGCAGGCCTCGTCAATGCTGTATCACGGCTGCCTTTCCCACATGGAGTGCCTCCCTGCCTCTTTAAGATTTTTGCATGAGAAGAGCAGAGTAGACCTGCTGATCTCTGTGGACAACTGGCTTCCAAGGGGAAAATGCTAAGAAGTAAATGATGAATGCCCAGTTTTGCCTTCCAAACGTAAGGTAAAGTCACCAGCTAAGACAGTGGCTATAGTGACTTGGGCCTCACATGTTTAGCAATTGGTAGGGCTGTTAATTAGGATGACAACCTGAGTTTCTTTACATGCTAACAGCTGAGGGTACCAGAAGCAGCAAAAGAGGACAATCCCCAATATGCAAGCATTATTTAGTCCTCTGCTTGCTTCATGTTTGCTTATGTTACATTAGACAAAGTAAGTTATACCGCCAACCCAGATTCGAGAAATAGCTACTACCTCTTGACGGATCTGCAGTCACATTGCAGAGGTATAGGTACAGAAATAGGAAAAATTTGTGACTAATTTTATATTCTATCACAATATGCCCTCTGATCACATATATTCATATCTCTCGCACATGTTTTCACCCTCATTCCAGAATGGTGAAAGTCTTATCAAATGCTCTAATTAGGGTTGAAGTTCAAGGTTTTGTATTTGCTTCATGTGCAAATCTGGATGTGGTTGATATGTGGCTCCTTGTGATCTAGAATCTAATGAAACAAAAGGAAAAGTTATCTTCCACACAACGTTAATGCACAGTAGTGATACAGGGATAGGATGACTCTAACAGACACCTCCACTTCCAAAGTGGAAGAGCAGGAGGCACACTGCTGTCACTGGCCCATAGCAATTCTGAAATTTTGCATAGGACGTAATGCCAGTTCTCCCTATCCTGAAGGCAGAGAATATCCCATGATTAAGGCACAGTGCTACTCCTTGAAAGATGCTTCCCAGTCTACTGTACTATACTTCTTAATCGAAGTGGTTTCCTGGTGCATTGTTGTCAATAGTCTGTGGCTCCATCCTCTGTGTTCTTTGCTGAAAATATATGACCACTTTCATCAAAAAATGGTTGCATTTGAAGCTGAATATTTTCCTCAGACTGCTCCCTGCAGAAATTTGGAGGGCCAGAAGTCTTTTTTTAGTTTGACTAATATCCATTTGATTCGAACTAGTAGTTGTTTTGCTTTTGTTTGTTTTGTTTGCTGGTACAACTCTCTTAATCACTTTTTTAGTTTCCAATATATCAGTTTTAATGCACTTAGTTTGAAAAAAGTTATACCCACAATTGTTTTAAAGAAAGGATTAAGCTTCTCTGAGACCATGCTTTTAAAGATTTTTAATAGCTTTGGTCTAATTGGGATGGTCATTAGTCATGTCTTAAATATTTTGAGTTTTATCGAAGGATGTTATAGTCATACTATTGATTTGCTTTAGGAATTTTTACATGCCAGGGACACTAGAAATGATAAACAAACAAACCAACCAAAAAGAATTCCCATGTTGCAAGTCCTGATTCCTCTGTATTTTTCCCAAATTTTGCCTGCAATCTCATCTCTAGGTCCCTTCACTAGGTCATCACTCTCTTCTGATACCTTATCAAATGTGGCTAGGAGTACCAAACTGTTAACTTCTAGAGTTCTTTCTGAATTGCTTCTTAGCCAGAGTCAAATTTTCATTAGTATGTTTTTTATCTTTCATGTTATTTCAGGTGACTATTGTGCTGATTGTCTTCGTATTATATCATATGAGTCACCATATTTCCAGCCTGCTACAGTTGTTTTCTCAATGCTTTTCCAGCTTCCACTAATAGTTTCACATTGCTTTTCCTGCCTTTGGTAATAGTTTCTTTGTTACTTTTTCACCTTCTGCCTACTGCCTTGTTCCAAAGATGATGCCACATTTTTAGGATTTTGTTCTAGTAGTGCCTGATCCTTGGTACCAATATCTGTATCAGTTAAGAATTTTTTCATAGCAAGCCACTCTCAAATTTAATGGCCAAAGTAGAAAGCATTTATTTTGCTCATGGTTTAGGAGGTTATTTCTCCTTGTCTGGACTGGCTTAGTGATCTCTGTTGGGTTCTTGCGTGCATATGTGGTTAGTCAACAGGTCAGCTGCCAGGTGGATTATCCAGGATGACTTAACTCACATGTCTGGAGGTTGGCAGACTTGGGCCAGAGTGATCGGGGTGACTAAGGCACATGTCTCTTGTCATTCTGGAGACTGGCCCAGACTTCTGCTTGTGGTGGGAATTACAGAATTTCCAAAACAGAGAGTTGAAAAAGCCAAAAGTGCAAGAGCTTTTCAAGCCTCTGCTTGCTTCAGAGTTGCTAAGGTCCAACTAGCCAAAGCAAGTTTCATGGCAACCTTGGGTGGATTCCAGCTCTTGGTAGGAAGATTTGAAGTTACATTCCAATGGCAGGGACATGGAAATGTGAAGCATGTGTAGTGATTTTACAATCAACCCCATGACTGGGGTAATTAAGTGAGGAAATCTAATATTCAAGAATCTTGCTTGCTTCATAATGCAATTTAGAGGTCAAGGATATGTGCATTCTTCCTAGAGAATCAGTTAATTAAAACTAAAGTTTGGGGCCTGCTTGTATGCTGTCCACTGAGCCTTTCTTTCCTGATATGAAAAGGATGTGAGAAGAACGAGAGCAAATGGGAAAAAACTCTCCTATAATAAAAATCCAATAATAATATATTAGCCTATGGAATGGTTTCTATTTGCTATTAAGTATTTTAAACAAATTATCTCCCTGAATTCTTACAACTCTGTGATATATGTTCTCTTATAGGTCTATTTTACAGACAAAGCCTAGAGAGTTTAAGTTACAGTTAGTAGATGGCAAAACCAGGTAGTGAAAGATAGTGAATGAATTGCTTATTGTTAACTGGTGAGCTGTAGGCACATGAGAATATTATTAGGCTGATTGTTAGGACCCTGAAACATGAGGAATTAGGGGGGAGTAAGTCCAGACTTTCTTATTTCTCCTGCAAAAAGCTCAGAGGTTATTGGTGCTGTGGAGGCTGGCCATTTTCCCATGCTCCTGGCCTGATCTCAATGTGAAGAGGAAAAGCCAAGCAGAGAACTAACCCAGTATAATACGTGCCAGGGGAGTACTTGAGAAATGTGAAGGACTCCACAGAAATGAAGTCAGCTAAATTTCTTTCTCATTTGGTATCCATGTGAGGAGGGCAGACCATACGGGCTCTGGAATCAAAAAACCTATGTTTGAACACCAGTTTTACCACTTGGTTAGATCTGAGATCTCGGGAAAATTATTTACCATCTCTGAATCTCAGTTTCTCCAACTGGGGATGATGGCAGTATTTACCTCACAGAGTTGTTGTATGAGGATTATTAAAGTATTTGGGAAAACATTCTTCCTGTGCTTAATGAGACCCCAAATCATCTGTTATTTTCTATTAATTTTTCTTAGTTACGCAGACTACAGAATATTCA